CCGAAGGGGCAGCACGCGCCCCCCGGAGGTCCCCCGCGCCCCCCGGAGATCCCCCGCCTCCTTCCCTGGGCCGCCGCGGGCTCGGTGAGCTGTTTTTTCCCTCTGGCCGGCAGGCTGGGCGCGCAGGGGCGCGGGCCCCCGCCCGGCGCGCAGCGGCACCATGGGCACGGTGCTGTCCCTGTCCCCCAGCTACCGCAAGGCCACGCTGTTTGAGGATGGCGCGGCCACGGTGGGCCACTACACGGCCGTGCAGAACAGCAAGAACGCCAAGGACAAGAACCTGAAGCGGCACTCTATCATCTCCGTGCTGCCTTGGAAGAGGATCGTGGCCGTGTCGGCCAAGAAAAAGAACTCCAAGAAGGTGCAGCCCAACAGCAGCTACCAGAACAACATCACGCACCTCAACAATGAGAACCTGAAGAAGTCGCTGTCGTGCGCCAACCTGTCCACGTTCGCCCAGCCCCCACCGGCCCAGCCGCCCGTCCCCCCTGCGAGCCAGCTCTCGGGCTCCCAAACCGGGGTCTCCTCCTCCGTCAAGAAGGCCCCACACCCTGCCGTCACCTCCGCCGGGACGCCGAAGCGAGTCATCGTCCAGGCGTCCACCAGCGAGCTGCTGCGCTGCCTGGGCGAGTTTCTCTGCCGCCGGTGCTACCGCCTGAAGCACCTGTCCCCTACGGACCCTGTGCTCTGGCTGCGCAGCGTGGACCGCTCGCTGCTTCTGCAGGGCTGGCAGGACCAGGGCTTCATCACACCGGCCAACGTGGTCTTCCTCTACATGCTCTGTAGGGACGTGATCTCCTCCGAGGTGGGCTCTGACCACGAGCTCCAGGCCGTGCTGCTGACCTGCCTGTACCTCTCCTATTCCTATATGGGCAACGAGATCTCCTACCCACTCAAGCCCTTCCTGGTGGAGAGCTGCAAGGAGGCCTTTTGGGACCGCTGCCTCTCCGTCATCAACCTCATGAGCTCCAAGATGCTGCAGATCAATGCCGACCCACACTACTTCACACAGGTATTCTCCGACCTGAAGAACGAGAGTGGCCAGGAGGACAAGAAGCGGCTTCTCCTAGGGCTGGATCGGTGAGCCCTGTAGCCTGCATCATGGCTCAAGGATTCAATTCATTTTTAAAAGTTTATTAAACAAATCAGATTTTATGTACAGTATGTGTCTATCAAAGCCACAAAGGGCCTCTCCCGGCCCCCCTTCTCTCCTTGGGGTTTTCTTCAGCCCTGCCTGGAACTTTGGGCGCTTTTGAACTCCTGAACCTTGTGCAAAACCCAGAAGACGTATTCAGAGCCACCCAGACCCATGCCCTCCCACTTTGGGGACTTCAAAGGACTGACCTGCCTCTGCCGCCTGTGCCCTTGCTGGACCAGGGCAGGTGAGGCTGTCTGCTGCTCGCTGCCTGGGAGCTGGAGAAAGGCCCTGGCCAGCTGGCCCAGGGAGGAATTGGCACTTCTGGTTGGGGGCCCTTTTCTGGCCTCTGCTTGGGGTTGTCCATTCTCCTAGAAGCTTCTGGAGCGGGCTGCCTTGACTGAGCTGCACGTCGGGTTGTGAGGCAAGATGCTGCTTCAGTTGAGGAGAAGCCGGACGGATGCAAAGATTGTGTCCTGCTGTTTGGCCGCGCACAACCCTGGTTTGCTCTTTTTTCTTTTTTAGGGAGAAGGGCTTTCCTTTAGTGGAGACACAGAACTTACCCCCCAGTCCCCTTGTCCCCTGCCCCCAGCCGTGTTGGTAATGTTGGTTAATGAGCTGGTTTGACTCATTAAGTTCTTTTATTTTGGGTCTCAGCTAAAGAGGTGGGGTGAAGCTGGGGACAGCTCCCTTCCTTGGTGAATTTTTCATTTGAATAATGCAGCTTAGTCGCCCTGTGGCGAAGGCCAGGACAGCCGCAGGTGCCCATTATCATCACCTGTCTTCTGGGCAGGTGGGGCTGCCACGCCTGGGATGGAGCCAGTGCCCACCTAGGGGCCAAGGCCTGTCACTGGTGTACATGACATTTGTTCTGCAGAGCTGGGGGTGGGGCATGGTAATGATGTACCCCCACCCCTACCCGTTAATTTAAAGCTGTTTCCAAACAGTTCAGTTTCTTCTGAGGACGAAGCCTTGCCCTGCAAGGCCCAGTGAGACAGCTGGATCCTGGGGACAATTACAAGATGGGAGTAGAACTCCTGATTGCTTTGGAAGCCTGCTGATTCTACAACTGATCATTTGCAGCTGCTGGTTTGGGTTTCCACTGTAGTGGCTGTAGAGACACATGATGTGTACTTAATCAATTTTCTTTCTAATTCTCCTAGATTGGTGGCTTGGGACTTGGGAGAGGACCAAGAGAAGGGGGCGAGTCTTCCTCCATGGCCCATCACTCCGGCTTTGGGGAACAAAGACCAGTGATAAGGCTACAGAGAATGCGCTCTTTCCAATCCCCCAGGGAGTGCTGGAATGAGGGGTTGGGGGGAGGCAGAGGGTCGTTTTACATAGGATTAGGTTCCAGGTGGCTGTTGATTTCAGCACAAGCACTACTGAAAATCACATAAAAAGAAAGCTGTGGTGCTCGCTTCGGCAGCACATATACAAAAAAGAAAGCTGTGAAATTGAGGTCCCAGTTTAAGAGGTCCGTGGTATGCCTGGATGTGAGGAAGAGGGCCTGCCCGTGCCTGAGAGCATTTGCCCCAGCCGTGCCTCGAGGCCCACGTGCCAAGCCATTCCTGGGACTGCCAGATAATCTGATGCAGAGCTGGAAGGAACCTGCAGCTGCTGGCACAGACTTCACTGCAGCGCCTCTCCTCTGCTGGAGCTGTCACACGGCCTGTCTGTTTTGATCCTTCTGCCACGTGTGACCTGAGGTAGGAAGCCCTCGGGGACAACGGGCCCTGGCGGCTCGGAAGAGGTTGGTTCGGGTGCCGAGTTTCAAGAGGAGGGGTGCGTGTTTGCAGACACTCGGTGGGCAGGACGAACTTGGCCTGAAACTGCGGTTAAGTCGCATCCACAGGATTCCAGTTTTGTGTGTTTCCTTCTCTTTCTCCATATTTATTTTTTTATTTTTTTGGAGGAGGTGCGAATTTCAGGAGTGGTTGGGGACTAAGGAAGTAACTCTGGTTCCATCAATGTGAAGCCTGTCATGTTCTCCTCCCTCCCCTTGTACTGGTCATCAGTATTGTGTAAAGGAACTGATACACTTGAGTGTGCAAGCAATGAACCCATTTGACATGCTGCTATGAAGACTACTTTTAGAACAACAACAAAAAAGAAAAAAAACTAACCGATAAAAAAAACCCTTTATTCTTTAATTGTTGCTTTTACAGTGATATTGTGCATGCAAACCAGGAGCATTTTGTGTCTTCAGAAAAATATTCTTAGAACAGATGGCTGTGAAAATTACACCCGTGCACAGAACAAGTCACAGGAATAATAGTTCAGGATTTGGTTTTTCTCTTTCTTGTAAAGCTGGAGGGTTGATATATTCTTTCCATGCAGTTATTAGAATTTAGTTTTGTTCCAACAGTTGTTAAACTTGCAATGAGAAGAAAATGTGCCATTTTTTTCACTCAGAATTATTCATAGCTGTATATTTGAAACTGCTAATTACACAATGTGTGATGTGTGTTGGTTTTTTAGTGCAATTTCTTCTGTAGCTATTCTTTGACCAAACTGTGGGTATTGTTAATATTAATTTATATTTGTCTCATTTTGTATGTATGTGTAGTGTGTTTCTAAGTATGTGTGGTTTATAATCTGACAAGGTCATGAAGCTCAGTTTGGCTGTAATTTAATTCCCCTTCCCTTATTTTTATTTATTTTTGTCCTGTGCTGATTAAATAAAATGCACTGACCATCCATTACATAGACCTGTTTTGTGGGCACATCATTCATGAGCAGGCCGGGGGCCCCTTTTATAAATGATTCCTGTTCTCAGAACATGATTGGATTTGTGTTGTGGGGGAGGGGTGGGGAATATGGGCGAGAGGAGGCGGGCAGGGTTAGGGAAGAGGGCTTAATGAGCACACTGATGTTAAGGTGATTAAGAAGGAAGCACAGGTTAAGTCAACTCTGGTTTAGCTGCTTGGTGGCCTAGGTGATGAGGACTTCTGGCCAGGGAGGACCAGGCCCAGGCATGGCCTGGGGAAGGCTGGCGGAGTGGTCCCTCAGGGGCTTTAGGCCGTGGATCCCCATTGGTGGAGCTTGGCTCTAAGGCCGCTGCCCCTATGTGTCCTGGGCCTGGCTCAGCTCAGTGCTCACTGCCCAGAGGCTCCCAGGCCCGCAGGAGTGGACTGGTGTTCATGTGGCCCAACCCTGTCAGTGTTGCTCATGCACATTTCTGTGAGAGAATTCCAGCCCCGGAGCTTCCAGATAAGCAGCTACCCTGCTCATAATTGTGGGACCCCCTCCAGCCGTATAGGCATACCTCAAGGTACGGTGGGTTTGGGCCCAGACCACCATAATGAAGGGAGCATCGCAATAAAGCAAGTCATGATCTTTT